GGTTTGTTATCTTTGATGTTCTGAGTATATTATGACATTAAGACAAAGTTGTGAGGCTTAGCGAATTTAATGCTTGGCCTTTATTATGGTTTTCTATAAAGGTTTCTCTACAAGTCATTTTGCAATTAACTTTTCATGTAAAAGTAAATGGCACAATAGATGTGACCTACTTTGCAATGTTTCAAAAGAAAATCCTCTTTCTAATAAGCAGTATTTAATAAATATTATTTGCCATTCCTTTTAACTGAATTTTAAAAATCAAGTAGTACTCACTGTAGAAGAGGTGGGATTCATTTTCTCTCTTTCACATAATGCACTACCTCTAAGGGGTTTTCTAATTATTTTTATTACTCCGAAATAACATTACAAATGAAAGGTTTTTGTGCTGAGGTTTTGTACTGTCTTCTACGTACTACAGCACATGCCATCACAGCAATTTTTGAAGTCTCTGAGCAGCTGTTCTTAAGGGATCTTTTTTGGCTTAACTGCCTAATTAATCTATCCCAAAGTTAGTAGTACTTTTTGACTGATGTTTCTGTCTCGGTGTCTGGTTTGTTTGTTGTTTTTTTAATTTCTTTTTTAACTTGTGTGCCCTTATCACTGTCTCTGAAAGTATCTCATAACTTTTTGCTCTCATTTTTTTTCATAGAATTACAATTTGCCACACCTTGCAACATGTTTTAGGATTTTCAGCTTGTCAGACTTGAATATTGCTTTCTTTACCCTGAACATTTTACTTTACCTTCTTAAAACTACTGTATCAGCTTGTTTTATCCATGTTTAATCAATATGTTAGTTTGGGGGAAGAGTGCTTTTGAAATGTGTGTCCCAAGTGTTCCTACTTCAGCATGCTTTGGTTTGCATTGCAGAGGAATCTTTGTGTGAGTGAATTTGATTCCTTCTGGATGAAAACAGGTTGGAAGCAATGCTCCAGAAGCGCACCAGACATGTACCACTCACTAATGGTCATTCAGTGCATGGCATCAGGTGTTTTTGTCATGGCTAGCTCTAGTTAGAAATGCAGTAGCTATGTTAGCTCAGAACCAACTTGTTTGTTTTACAACGCGCTTGTATGAGTGCTGAGTTAGAGCCACTGGTAGTTTAATTTAAAGTGTTCTTTTTATTCCCAGCAAGTTCTTCACTAAGAAAGGAGATATCTGGTCTGGTTTGACGCATTTTATAGGTTTAGGGGTTTTTTCTGCAGAAAGTTTTTTTGTCCTGCTATTTCAAACCTCTTTTGTACACAAGTGTGGATGTTTGTTCCGGTAGTTGCTTACTCTCGAATGTGTGCATTTTTTTGGAAATATGTGTGAGTATAATATATAGGAGTATATATGAGTATAATATATATGAAAAATATGTTTGAGGAGATATTTCTGATACATTTTCTAATGGTCTGTAGTGATTACATACTGTAATTTTTTTCATGTTTCTGTATATATTAAATCATAAATACTTTGTGATTTACAGATATGAATGCTACTTTTGATGTTTAGTGAGTTACTCACATGTCTTGTTTCTCATTTTTACCGTCTGGATTTGGCCCAAGTATAGACAACTAGCAGATTCAGTTTATAAGGTTTAAGTTTTACATCTGTCTAGATGATACCAACAGAGCAATTTACAGTTTATCACAGTAAAAGTTATCTTGAAACGGATATTTTACTCTCAAGTTGAAAAAAGCATGAAATCACCTTATGTCTAAGAATCCAGACATTGCTTTCCATGAAACCACCTGAATTTTAATTCAGTCCAAGTTCAGACTACTTCACTAAACAAGCAGACATTTGCCCATGTGTGAGTAAGTACAAGTAGCATGTTCTGTGGTGAACTGGATGGATGGATTGGGTCGACTAATATCTCTTCTTGCTCGAAGGGACAATCAGCTATACCTAATGTTGATTAACTACTAATCTGTTCTTTAAAGATGTCCAGAAATTGATGTTCCAGTACTTGTCTGTTCTTAGGATCACGAAGCGTTTTTTTCCAAGTGTTCAGCTCACATATCCTCTTTCTCAAATGCAGTTATACTTCCCATTTCTGCAGAATAGTTTATTATTTTCCTCTTAGAGCATTGATGTGTAATATACAGGTGTTACTGTGCAGATATTTTGGGGGGTTTCTAAAAATTTTGGTGACTTTGAAGGAGTTTTCAGTTGTTTTGGTTTTCTTGGCATAACATACTGTTGCAAACTTTCAGAGAAAGATAGCAGAGTATCTTTATGTCTTTAATAGCCTTTTATTCTTACCTTTTAGATGCTGGCATCACCATCAACATCAGGTCAGCTGTCTCAGTTTGGGGCAAGTTTATACGGGCAACAAAGTAAGAATTCTTTTTATTGGTGATATGTTTATTTTATGCTAAATATGTTACAGTTGCACACTCTGGATAGAGAATATGCAGGTGGCTTTGTTTTCTGGTGATTGTAAAAATGACAGTATGTTCCCTTATGTGCAATTAGTTTAATTTCTTTAAAATATATTTTGCTTTTCTTAATATGCATTTTTGCAGTGTTTAGTGGGCAGAGTGTCATATATTGACACTGTATAGCTGTTAAATATCCAAATATAACCATGCTATAAAAAATGTCTGTGATTTAACCATGACTCTCTGAAAGAAAACCCAAAGAAAGTGACCTGGGCTAAAATGAGCCTAGTTCAGAAAAATATGTAAAGAATTGAAGGAAATTATACCTTAAATATAACTGATATTTCATGCTCTACTGGCGCACATTGAATCTTGTGTATGTGCTTGGCAACTTGCATTTGGCAAAGATTTGGCCAGTAAGATTATTGCCTTCTGCACCAATGTTTTTTTCTTTCCTGTACTTTGGAGATTTCATCTGTATCTGCCCATCTAATGGACACTGTTGCAATAGAAGACCCATAGAGCACCAGTCCCATGAATGCTAACTTAGGGCAAGTGTTGAGAACTGAAGCTCCTTGTGACTGAGAGGTGCATTCAGAATATCAGAGTTAGATACAATTCACAAGTAAAACTGGTTGTGAGCATCATCTCTCCTGTGTCACTGTATGGTTTTGAATGTTTTCAGCCGTTTTGTCAAGTGCTTCTGACTCAGATTCTTTGAAAAAGTGTCTTTAGAGTACTTTAGAGGGTCTGGACTTTTTGTCTGGACAAACTAAAAGCTTTGTTTGCTAGATGCATGGCCTTCCCAATTTCTTTCAGCTTTCTTCAAGTAGTTTCTTAAAAAATAGAGTGGGTTTTGGTTTTTGTTGGTTTCTTTTTTGTTGTAGGGTTTGCTTTCCTATCTCCGTGGCCATTGATGAGTGACCGTATAATATAAACTGGCGTTTGATTATGCTACTGAGATTTATATGAGCAGCTTCTAGCCAGTCTGAAAGTCATGTTTGGGTCTTGTCTTTTGAGTCCTGATTCTGGCACTATTGGATCTTTAAAACTTAATTGTCTACAGATACTAAAATAGTTTATTCATTCTGTTTGTCAGTTATTTGTTGTTTATTTTTAAGGTCAACTTTTTTCGTCAATTTCGTTACTCACAGAGTTGGTTGTGGTACCTGGGATTTAATCTCTAACACGGAGGCATACTTGGCTAAAAGCTTAAAAGATGTCAATTTCTAACAAATCTTGAGGAAAAGCATCAAGAAACTTCTGTGTTGAAGTCATGCTTATGATTAAAATAGTTCTAGGAAAAACAAAGCTGATAATGGCTATGCGCTTTTAATGATTGGTAGCTGTCAGTCATCAAACAAGATGTTATTTATAGCGTTAATGTAACTTAAACATAAAATTAGGAAGAAAATTGACCGTTTCATTGATCAGCCTCCAACATACAGATCTCTTGTCTCAGTTAGAAAACTGGAAAAAATAAGAAAAATGTAGGGCTTTTTTTCAGTGACTATTTCAACTGCCCCTCCTTGCCAGGAATATGGTTTTACTTTACTGTAACATCCCTAATCATTAAAAATTCTAGTTTGAAGAAAGCCAACAAGAAGAAATAACCATCAGTGTAAAACTGGCTTTGCTAAAACAAATGCTTGCACCAAATAACCTTGAATAATGGTTTTTTGGTGTGCTGTGTCTAGTTTAAAAATGTATGTATTTTTTCTCTACCATTTTATTTTTAAAATTCCATGTAATTGTTAATCAGCATGAAATATTATTTATAATGTATATTTATGCTCATTGAAATTATTCTGATGCAGCAAATTGCCAAAATATTTACAGTGAACACCTTGATATAATCATCTTTTAATGAAGTGTTAGGATGCTTGTTATAGCAAGATACACTAGCTCTTAATCTGAATGCATTGAGATAGATTTGAGTGTTATAAATACTTTGAATTTTGTTGCAAACTTTTTGGGTTGCAAATTGTAGGATAGGACACAGACACCAGTTCTTAAAGCGTGAGAGCTCAATGACTGGGAGGTTTCTTCAGACCTTGTCTTGACAGTAATTTGAGCATATGCTATGTCTGTTCTTTGCATTCTTAGTATTTAATCACATTATACAATGGCATATTCAGCTCTTCTGCAGGGGCGATCCACCATGAGAGGGGGCTGATACATCATAATTTTCTTTTGTTTGGTCTGCAGGATAAGATTTTGAGTTCTGTGAGTCTACCTCAGCAGCCTTATGGCAAAGCAGTAGGAACTGTCACAGTTATCGCATTTTATATCTAAGTTTGTTCCTATTGCTGTGTTGCACTAAATGACTTTTTCTTGTCTTTGAGCATAATTCTGAAACTTAATAAACACAGAAAAGCAATGCGAGAATGATGAGAAACTTCATAAACCTCTTGGACATTTTGAGACAGGGCAGTAACTGGTTATTTTCTGCTGTTCTGGATTGAAGTAATTTATTTTTTTATCTCACTGAAAAAAGTGTGGGGAAAGAAAGCTTGCCTTATTCTGTCACACAATTGTTTGCATAGAAAATACTTTTTATCACAGTGTTAAAACTCTTCTGTATGTTTTTAAATGCAAATTAGAGGGCATTTAAAATTCTGCTTGCTTTCTTTTCTCAAAAGGTCAAACTTGACTTGATCATAAACACTGAAGCACTGTTGTCATAAAGAAACAACTTAACCTGTAAAGAGGGAATTGGCCTAAAATGTTGCTTTTGTTGTCCTGAAAACAATGTTACTGTTCAATAAATAGCCATCACTTTTTTTTTTAATTAAAGATTTGCTTAATTTTTAGCAAGACAAATCAACGTTCTAAATACTGCCCAAATATATATACCAATTAGCATATTTCTTGAGTGCAGTCGCTAATTTTCCCAAAATGCTACCCTTTTTTTGAGATAATTTGTAGATTTTCATGTATCATCAAAAAACTCAAAACTCAACCCTTTATCTACAGTTTTACATCTCAAAGGAAACAAAATTTTGTTAGTGACTTTGAATACAGAAATTTCTCAAAGAACCTATCTAAAGTTAAACAGAAATGGGGCTGAATTTGATAATTGGGATTCTACTATGCAAACAAGGACTTAGTTTCTACACTGCACTTTCCTTCAGTTTTTACACGTTTTGGTACGTTGTCAGCATAAATTGTTTCCATCTACACCTGATGGAGAAAACTTTGTTCCTGATTGCTCTGTATCTCCACCCCTCTGAATTTTTTTTCAATAGGTGCACTAGGCCTTCCAATGAGGGGAATGAGCAACAATACCCCTCAGTTAAATCGCAGCTTATCACAAGGCACTCAGTTACCGAGCCACGTAACGCCAACGACAGGGGTACCAACAATGTCACTTCACACGCCTCCATCTCCGAGCAGGTATTTATTGATAGCCAGTATTTCTGCAATTGTGTCTTTTTGCAGAGCTCTTATTAAATGGTCTGCGTATTTTGCCTCAGTTATTTTACAGTCTGATAAATCAAAAAAGAAGAAAAATAGTTTCTTATGGACCACTGCCTTTGTTAGGGAAATAATACAGTAAAATAGTAAGGGTTTACTGTAAGACATTATTTGACTTTTATATATAAAGGACAAATTGCTGGCAAATTCTGCTTCGGAATGTAAGAGGTTGTTATTTGATTGTTCAGGTAAATGTACAATTAAAATTTTTATGATGTCATACACTATGTAAGAATATTAAGTTAGTAGGTCGGCAGCTCTCATTAAAAAAGGAGTTGTAACACCTCTTCATATTTAGAATATTTAGTATTTATGTAAACCAGACCAAGGACTTGATTAGTATGTAATGGGTCATCTGGTGTTTCTGAAGAAATCCAGAACTGCAATAATTATAGAGAGTGATCTAAACATACTGTTTGGTCACTTAAATGCGAATTAAATTGCAACAGCTCAGAGTCTATCCTGCATTAGTAATGTAAATGAGTAACCAAATACTGTTGTGCAGATTCATCTCTGTGGATGGTTTTTCTCTTTCAGGGGGATATTGCCTATGAATCCTAGGAATATGATGAACCACTCCCAGGTTGGTCAGGGCATTGGAATTCCCAGCAGGACAAACAGCATGAGCAGTTCAGGGTTAGGCAGCCCCAACAGAAGCTCTCCAAGCATAATATGTATGCCAAAGCAGCAACCCTCTCGACAACCTTTTACTGTGAACAGGTAAGGCTCTTTAGTTGGACCATCCCTGTACAGACATGTACATTCTACTGAGGAAGTGTAATTTTTATCCATTAGAATAAATCTCAAAAACTGCTTCGTGTGTTCATTAGGCTTCAGCTTGTTTTGGTGCTATGTTTATGCTTCCTTCATACTGATAAACTTGTAGTAAGTACTGTCTTAGTTCTAATTATTTAATGTGTGTAGTCACAGCTTTGCATGGCCGACTGCTTTGTTCCATGACCTCATGATCGCTGTGCTCCCAGTTTTGTCCTTTTTCTCCCTTCAGGCCCTTCCTTTGGGGAGTGGCTCTTAGAGGAGCACAAACTTGCTAATGCAGTCAGGTGCCATCTCTTACACAATATTTTACAAAATAGATAAAGGAAGGTGAAAACTAATGTCACAGTTACCTGAATCCTTATCAGGCTACTTAGTTTTGTAGTTGCACACTGATACAGGCATACAGATGCTTTTCTCAATGATCACAGCAATAGCAATTAGGTGGTAGCAGTTCATGTTCTTGGAGTGTGAGAAGACTTTGTGTCTTACCTCTGATTACATAGAATTTGCCTTTTCTGTCCTATATAGCATCAAGTGGAGGAGAGGATAATTTTAAAAGATAATGTTATATTTTAAAGTGGTTTTGACATTTGAGGTCACAGAAGGTTGAAATAGTAACATACTTAAAAACTCTGCATGCAGAGGACAATGATATTGGATATTGATACATGTATAGAAATTATGTATTTAATTTCATTCAAATGCAGGGAAAATAATGAAATCCCTCTCTGTAGGAGCATTTGAATTAAAATCCTAATATTTCACTGTTTCATTGTAAATTTAACTTTCAAGAAGCTACAGTTTTTACAAGTTGAGAAGGAGGTATCTCTTTAACAATGACGGGTTCTTATTCTACAGTTTATTAGGCTACAGAAGTATGTAGTATATAGTAGTAGTACAATCTCCAATTGCTAATAGATACATTTAGCAATATTTTGAAATCATTATTGGGAGAAAAATTATGGTGTGTGTTTGTCAGGTGCATGAATTATGTGACTTTCAAGAAGTATTTTCTGAATAGTCGCTTAGTTGGAGCATTGATTATTTTTAGGCTAGGTTTTTGAACATGAAGCAATTCAGGATATTTCAAATTAGAGTGAAATGCTTCAGATTTGTAACTGTGAAAAAAGTTTGTGTGATTTCCACTGGGAAAGCATTTCTTTTTTTTTTAATGGAAACTTCTAAAATAGCAACTTCCATCCTGTTACAGGGGAAAAGCGAATGTCTTGATTTCCCACAGGGCAGACACTCAGAATTTTACTCAGCTGGGGGCCTACCTTTGAGCTTCTCAACATCTCCAGCTCTTGTGGAAGGAGGCAGATTATATGTGGGGGTGTCTTTCCAACCACGCTAGACCTTTATGATATTTAGATGTTTTTAGATATTTTTGCCTGACTGTATGAAACTTAAGCCTGTGTCCTTGTATGACAGAGACCATCCCTATGCTTATAGTAGTACCATGTGTACCTGGTGGTGATTACACACTGTAACCGTTCAGGTTATGAATGAGTCATGACAAACTTGATCACCTTCATGATCCAACTTCCCACCTGCAAACGAATGGATTACAGTCTGACTTTCAACTACTGCATTTATTGCTGCCTCATTTTTCTGTATGAAATTACTGAGTAACTATTGTGTTTGTCATAACCTGTTGGTTGACAGATGTCTTCAGAGACGGTGGCTATTAAAAAAATAAGCTATTTTGAAGTCATTCTAGTTGACTTGATTGAGCGGTGCCTGTTGCTGCTGCTCAGTTTTCAGAAGTATAAAGGAAAATAATTAAAACATGAGTTTAGGCTAATAGGGGTTGCTTGAGCTTGAAATAATTTAAATGTCATAGGGTTTTTCCCCCCCCCATAATACCTTCCACTGGAAATTACAAAGTACGTATACCCTTTTGTCTGACTTCGTGGGTTTTTTTCACAGTATGTCTGGATTTGGGATGAACAGAAATCAGGCATTTGGAATGAATAACTCCTTATCAAGTAACATTTTTAATGGAACGGGTGAGTTTACTCTGTTTAATGTTGATCTTAAACTACAGTAGAGAGATTTTTTCCGACTAAATAAGTCTAACTGAAAAAACTTTGTTCTGTTGGAGTGCAGTTTTCTTATAATTTTCAATTGTTTCATAGAAACGCTGCTCCAAGAGCAGTGCTATCAAACTGTTACTACTTCATAGCAGTGGATTTTAAAACTTTTGAAGACAAAGTACTCTGTAGTATACTCGCTCTATATCACGCGGTAATAGATTATGTCAGGTTGGTTAGAAATGCAAAATAGCTCATGGAATTGATGAGATCAGAGAAGAAAAGATTTATCCATTTTCTGTGAAAACATTAGATACATAAAACCAGTGGGAAAGCATTTTTTTTTGAAATCTCAAACTCCTTTTGAACAGCTGGCTTGTCATGTATTTCTTTCAACACTTGTTTCATTTGTGATTTTTCTCTGGGAATTATTTCTTCACCTGAATTTAGTGAGCTAGAGAGTGGAAAATATCCTTGTGCAGAAATGCCGTAGGTTCATGTGTGCTGATGTTTCTGTAGGTGGCTGCATATATGAAGCAACTTGAGGTGCTGATGACATCACAAGAGTAGAAGGATTTGGGCATTCCCTAGGACAGTGTGACATTTGTAGAGCTGCAGCTCTGGCCTTACCCATGTAGTATTTTCTGCTGCAAATGAAAAATGTTCCCATGTAACTTGCATTGCATTGGCTCTTCAGCTGCTTCAGCTTTGTCTTACCTTGTCTAAGGACAATAGAGCTCTTTGATGCTGCTGCTAATATGGGTTATTCTCTCAAATTTCTTCTTGATAGCTCTTCAAATTTAAAACAGGCCACCTATCCTAGTACTGTAATTTTGATCGTCTGCCTGTATTTTACGTGTGCAGTCTTTAATTCAAAAAGAGTAGACCTTGTTACTAAATGCTGCTGGCTAGCTATTGTTTAAGCAAACCTCAAACATCTTGGTGCTCTTTAGGCAAATCTTGTAACACAAAGGCTGTAGTTATTTGTAATCATAAAAAAGATCAACTTGAAGAAAGAAGATATGTCCTGCATTTACCTTGCACGTAATAAGTCTTTGAGCAAAGTATGTAAGGGAATAAAAAATATCTGTTTTTATTGTAGATGGAAGTGAAAATGTGACAGGACTGGACCTCTCAGATTTTCCAGCACTAGCAGACAGAAACAGAAGGGAAGGAAGTGGCAATCCAACTCCATTAATAAACCCTTTAGCTGGAAGGGCACCCTATGGTAAGACTTCTGAAAGCTCTTTGAATGAAATAGGTATTTGCTTGATTCAGCTTTTGCTGTTCATAAGACAGTAGGTAGTCTTTTCAAAAATGCCAGATGTTTGAGCTCCTAAGACTCATTTAAAATAAGAAATAATATTACAGTGATTGGAGACTCCCCATTGTAAGTATCAGAATTAATATGCTCTAGTTTTACTGTCAGTAGAGATTGTTGGAGTTTTTGGTCTGTCTAGTATGATTACTGTGAGGCTGCTCACTCGAGGTACTTCTTAGGTAATAGGTTTTATTCACGTATACAAGAGCTGTTGATGTCTGACTAATAAATTACAGGAATAGTATTTGAATAGTAGAGGTGTTCTGCGTAAAAAGTCAACAGTTGTAAACATACTGTATATTTTTGCTGTCAATAGTATTTGCTGTAGTGCTGTTCAGCATTACTCTTAAGACAAACATCAGATTTCAAAAAATAACCTTAAACATCAACTATTATCAGTCAGATTCCAAGTATGTATCTTATATAATTCTTGCTGAACAACTTAAAAATAATAAAAGGAAATAACTTTTACTGAATACAAATCTTATTAATTGGGTCTTAAAAAAATTCAGGTGAACTTAGTGTGAGGCACAAAACTTTCTTTTTGTTACTACTTTAGTGGATTTAGTAGATGCATGTTGCATCAGCTACTCTAAAATGTTGCTTTTATAACCTATTTTTGTGGTACTTGTCAAATTTCTAACTAAAAATAACCTAGTGTTTTCTAACTATAAAAGCTGGTGTTTTTGAGAGATAGCTCGAACTGTGGTTGGAGATAATATATACCGCGTTATCAAGAGAAAGTGGCCTCATGGATTTGGCATAACCAGGCCCTCTGTGTAAGATAGCTGTGAGAAAGGACCAAATAAGTTAAACTTGCCTTTGCGAAACACAGGGAAAAGTCACTTCCCGAAACAGAGACTCCCAAAACTCAGACCAAGAGTGGAGACCTAATACAGCTTGTGGCTTGCATGAGATTCCGTCCATCATAGAATCATAAAATGGCTTGATTTGGAAGGGACTAAAGTTCCAACTCTGAAAGAAAAGACGTTATGTGAAAAAAATGATGGAAGGTAGGAGATCCACTTCCAGATGTACTTACAGCATGGATCTGGAGTTCAGTGCTCAACAGCACTGCAGCATAAAAAACCCCCTGTAATTGATCTCATGCTTACACCATTTCCCCATTTTGGTGCTAGCATAGCTGTTTGCACAATTGTATGGTGAACCGTGAAAAAAAGTTCTCTGTTTGAAGAGCTATCTTGAGCATCTGCTTAATGCAGAGGTTGCATATGGAGGTAGAAACAATCCAGAAATGGAGATGTGAGATGTACTGGATACTGTCTTCCAACACAAAAAGTGGAGAGCAGTTTTGGTCGTGGACAAGAAGAGAAAGTTTGAAACGGAGCAGAGACATACTTTCTTTATTCTTGGTTATTCAGGAAAATTATACTTCAAATAACTTTTAGGTAAAATAAGAATAATCATTAAAGTTAATTAATTATCAGTTTTATTTATCCAGTAGAAGAAATTGTAATAACTCTGGATGAAAAGGCTGAACAGCAGAAACAAGATTAACTCAGTGTTGTTCTTTTTTTAAATAAAGGAACTTTGACCTCTAACTTCAGAATACTAAAGAGAGTCATATACAGTCATCTAATGAACCATTTTAGGATCCTACACATCTACTAAGAATCTTTGAAAAATAGGCCCTAGACTTTCTTTTGTCTTCTGTTCCTCTGTTGCAGTGTTCTTTGCAACCAAATCACTATATTACTTCTCCGTGTCTAGCAAAGTCTGTTTGCTCTTGGGTGCATTGTGTGGGGACTTTTTGGTTTGTTTTTGTTTTAACTGGCATAAAGGAAAAAAAAAACAAAAACAAACCACATTGCCTTTTTGCTTTTCAGTAGTCAGAATCCAAATTCCAATGTGACTGGCCTGCTCTTTTGAAATTAGGGGAAGAGCACTGAGAGTTGCAGGCTAAATGCTCTCAGTTTTTATACTGAAAGTAGGAGTTGTTCTTATGTCACAGGCAAGTATTTCATTCCTGACATGTTCTGTTGCAAGCTGGGTGTCCTTTGAGAATACATGCTTTTGAAGAGATGGTGCTACAAAATTCTTTATGCAATTAGGGGATGGAGGAAAAATGTATTATATTCTTAAAAGCAGTACATTCCTCATCAGTGGATTAACCTGAATACAGCTTTAATAATGCTTATAAAGATTATTTTATTATTTAGATGTGCAAAACAAGGTGCAGTGGATGTGTCTGAATTTAACCCATACAGTGTTTCTCAGCTCACACTTGAATAAAAGGCTTTAGTCTGTGTGGGGGTGTTTTGAATGAATATGCTTTGTTTTGCTTTACCTGGTTTTTTAAAAATCATCACTGTACAGTTTGAGCATAGTAAAAATGGACAGTGAGGAAGATCAACAGCAGAAAAATTCTCTACATAGCAGTTGTTTAATGTTATTCCTGCTTGCATTTTGATGATAGTTGGAATGGTAACAAAACCAGCAAGTGAGCAGTCCCAGGACTTTTCAATACACAATGAAGATTTTCCAGCATTACCAGGCTCCAGCTACAAAGACCCAACATCAAGTAATGATGACAATAAATCTGTAAGTAAACCCTAAATTTTCTCTTAGTTTTAGTGTTCGTACTTTTTTTGATGATTATATTTTAAAATGGGCAGTGACTATATTTCTAGTACAAGATTTTCAAATTTGCCCCTCTGAATTAGTGAGAGATTGAGCATAAGCAGCATGGAATTTCTCAAGAAGTTTTTTTGTCCACTGTGACACTTTGACACCTCAAAATTTATTTTTGAGAAGTGGTGTATATTTTTCAAGTTTGCAATTCATGTTTTTTTTTTCTGTCAGTTGCAGCTCATTTTTTGCTGTTGATGCCTCTCATCGATAGTAGTAATTTACACATTATAACTTCTTTCTTCAGAGTTGTCAAATCTTTTGAAAGTTAAGTGATACAATATCAATTCAAGGTAAAATTCATAATGGAGATCTAAAATCAGAGGGAACAAGCTCTTTTAATAGAGATCATGGCTATATTGTAGACTAATGATAAATTATAATGAGATAGGTATATAGCTTAGATCATAAAATTATGGGTTTTTCTTTGTTGTTTGAAAAATTTGTAATAAAAACTGCTATTTTATTGCAGATGAAAGGTGAATAAAATGTGGATGGCAGAGGACAGTTTTTTATATTGTTTGACAAAATGTTCTAGTTTCTGATTGTTTTATTCTAATTGCAAAAAATATGTTAATGAGGGTGGCATAAATACTGACAAATAAGTAGTAGGTGTGACTGAAAACCCATGTGAAAACTAAAAAATGCAATTGTTTAAAAAAAAGGGACAGTAGGAATCCTGGCCCCCAAATGTTGTGGCCAATTCTGTTGTGAGGAAAATGTTCTGATGCAGTTAGCACTGATTACAGTAAGGAGAGTGGGAGTAAATGCAATTGTGTTACTGTAGATTAATAAAGAGTAAGAAATAATGGATATGGCAGATCAGTATTTTTTCAGTATTTTGGTTCCTAGAGCACAGTCAGTTTTCTTGCCAGACATAATGTTTACATGTCTTTCCTGATAGTTGCAAATTCGCTTACTGTATGTTGCTGGCACCTGAAATTGGCTCATTATCTGTTGCTATGTCATAGAGTGTTATAAAGGAACAAGACTAGGAGGGGAAAAGTACACGACATGGTGAGTCCGAAAGAAACTCTAGTCACAGGCACTTGGGATGTCCAAATCAGGTGTAAAATACTTTATCCTTTTAGACTGCAAACTGTTAGCCTGTTAATAGCACTTACTGTATGGTGGGTATGCTTTAGGAAGTGGTAAATACTACATAAGGTTTGTCAGCAGAACTCAAGAACTTCAGCTTGGAGCGATTTAGTAGAGTGACTTGATGTACTGGCTTAGAGTGCTTGACTGAAAGATATGATCTGTGAGTTTTTTGCATTTTGGTTTGTTTTCATCATACCAACTCCGCGAATTATTTTTAATAGAATTTGAGTACATCAGGCAAAACATCATCCAGCACAGATGGGCCCAAGTTTCCTGGAGATAAAAGTTCAACTACGCAAAACAACAACCAGCAGAAAAAAGGGATCCAGGTGTTACCTGATGGTACGTGTCATTCCTCTTTTTCTGCTTTAAAGTTTTGACAGTCTTTTAGATCGCCTTGCCGATTTCTCCTTCTTAAAAGGAGAAAATTAATTTGTTCTTCTTGCCCAGGTCGGGTTACCAA